ATCACATAGATTAGGTAAAACTCAGGACAAGGGTTTTATATGATAGAATTTTAAACAATATGGCCAAAAAACCTTTAGGGTTCTCTGAAAGAGTCTTAAACTTAAACTGTTTAGTAATTCACAAAAGTCACACAAGTAATATTCCTGCAGGACTTATTGAATATGTAATCAAAATAAATGTCCTGTCCATCCAACTGTCTAAAATATCCAAAGAAATTTGAATGTTAACAAATGTTCTATTCTATTAATTTATAACGATTGGATATTAATTTATCTTCAATGTAGAAAAGCTTAAAAGTTCATTCTTGACCTGGGAAACTAATACCGTTACATGGTATAATAACGTATTCATTAAGACTGTGTTGCACTATGCACAATGGCATAACTATGTCAAAGAAGTCCTCTGCAAGATACATGATACAAATGAATGGAAGCCAGGCTGACGGTAGGAAACCATTTTCAAAATGTAAAGCATGATATGATGGTTCGGCAGTCACACTGGAGCGCAGAAAGAGGAGTCCTCAGGGTGCTGCTGGTCACACTGAAGCTCACTGGAAAGAATTTACTCTTTTACTTTAACAATTTATCAAAGTGCTTGACAAATTATTCTGTTTTGGTTAAATTATGAAATAAGGTTAATATGTCGTTCATTCACTGAATTCTTCATTCCATCTCAGTATCCTGGCGTGACAGCGTCATTTCATTATCTTATATATGTATGTACACGTATATGTGTGTATACTTATGTATGCATGTACACGTATGTGTGTATACTTATGTATGCATGTACACGTATGTGTGTGTATACTTCTGTATATATGTACACGTATGTGTGTATACTTATGTATGTACACGTATGTGTGTGTATACGTATATATGTATGCATGTACACGTATGTGTGTGTATACTTATATATGATTCTACATTACTCAGTGACACTTTCAATACAGCGTGCTCACCTATGCTACTGCACACATGCACATATGCATGATGCATAATATTGAGTAAATGTGTTTTTTGTCTTTATTTGGAAATGGGCTGAAACATACAAGAACTGTGGCATGATCCTTTAAACCACTGTGACTGTCAAATAATATAAAGGAAGCTTAACTGTAAATCCAGTTATTGCAAGTTTATATTTCCAGTTATTTACATTTACATTTACATTAATAAGACATTCAATGAATAATATAAACGAATTGCTTGTATAAAACATTGTTAGTAGACAGAAGGATTTAATGATTAAAAAGAATGATTGTTTGTTCACAATGTTGTACTCTATGATGTCTTTTTGTTATGCCTTTATTTACCAGACCAGCTCTATTGAAGAGAAAATAAAAGAGAATCCCTGAACCATAAACCATAAAGAGACTTTCTGTTTAATTCCAGTGTTTCTTATGTAATCACCCTGTGAATACATCCTGCTTGATAAGGCTGCCGGAGTGTTTCAGTTCATGGTCAGGCTGGGATCACCTGGATAATCCTTCCCAAGGCCAAAATCCAAACGAATCAGGTTGTTTTACTTAAGCAGCCCAAGCAGCTGCACCTGGGGTGTAAATATAGACGGGGCCCGTAAGGTGGGGGGCCCCTAGAGGGAGCGGCCCTACCACAATGGGATGGATGGAGGGGAGGCTCTTGTGAGTGATTACATTTTCCAGTTCCGACATACTTCTGTGTTGAAGAAGACCTTATGTTGAATTTAACATGGTGCCATTCATTATTGATGCCCTCAAAAAGGCAAACCCAACTCAAATAGATAAAACAGTCAATATATAACAATATGATATGCTTATTATACATAAACTCTATAAACTATATATTTTCACTATATGTTTTCATATACAGATATGCAAAAATGATTACTGGGTAATACGTATGTTGTTGTTGTCTCCAGTCTCTCTTCGATCATGTGATTAGATGATACGATATATGGTGGCTCGTTTAGGCGCAAATCTGTCAAGAATGACAAGCAGAGCACATCTGCAAGCATCATGCCTTTTAAACATAGAAGCGACAGCAGGGAACTGAAACCCGTCTTAATAGCAACGCACTGGAGCCCGTCGTATCCTCCTCACGCCACTGTGCTGCACAATGTTAATTCACAGCAGCGGCCTCTTTTAACATTTTCAAATCTGTTAATCTGACAGCTGACCACTTCTGTCGATGAGTGGATGGATGGTTAGACAGATAGATAGATAGATAGAATTCTCAATGGCGAATGGTTAAATGAAATGAAATTGGAAATATTCGGTCCATCTTTCCGGGACCACTGACTCTTGATCTTCTTGTTAACTGCTTGCACTTTCTTCTGATTGATCGATGACAGAGAAATTGTTCAGATACATCAAACACATTTATGAAAGAAAAATGCCATTTATACCTTTGTCTAATATTTATTTATATTTTCCTATATTTCACAGGCGGAAAATGATTATGGTGGAATCAGGATAAAAGTATTAAAAATATGTATAAACACGGAGACAAAAAATGTATATTCCTTCCAAAAAGACTCACGTCTCATCTAGTGAGAGAACACAGAGCTGATAAAAATGTAAAAATAAGACCTTGGTCATGTTCGTCTCCGATAATGTAATAATTCAAAAGGATAAACATAACTGACAGTTATGCTCAAGGTATCTTGGTAGAAGGACTCCTTGTTCCTCTGCTGTGATCATAATAATTACAGTGACTGATCAATTACATCAACTATATGTAATTAGTCAGAGTACTAACTAATATTAGTAACTTAAATAAATAATCTGTGATTAATTAGAGAATGCAATATTTACACGTCAGGGCTGAATAAATGACCACGGATCAATTCATTTCAAAACAGTATCGACATCCTGCGAGGTGGAACACATTCGATAGTCTGTGATGTTTCATTTATTACTTTCATTTCAGCCAATTTACAATCTGAACTGAAAACAGCAAGTGTTCTTTTTGGATGACAAAGACAGGGCTTTGTTTTTGGCTGGAGTAATACCACAGTTCTGGTGTAGCAATCTTAAAATGCAAGAGTCAAACCCAGAGATGGCTTTTCCATATCACTCAGAGATGATTACTTCCATATCCATCTACCGTTTACCCACAGAAATCAATTATAGCTGCAGACCAGCATTAATCTATCATTTTATAATTAATTCAGAATTAAAACGTTTCTGCCTTTAGGTGTGGCAAACCTTCCGTTACAGACCTATTCTTCTTGCACGTCCCTCAACATAAACACCTAGATTGACTGGAATTCAGTATACAATGCAAGCTGAAGTCTCCAGCATCCACAGAATACTCATGTGATTAACAACAGACGAGTCTTCACCAAACATCTTCAAACCTGCAACCACACATTCATCCAAGTGCCTTTGAGCGACTCATTATCTCTTTACAGCTACTCACACCCGTAACACATGTTGACACCCTGAAAGCAGTCCGCCTGGCTGCATTCACTGCCACCATCCATCCTGCCACCGTGCCCTGGAGCAACAAACTCAACTCTGAAAACTTAGTTGCGATTGAAACAGTAGTATTAACAAATACAATTAAATAAATGAATACAAAATATAAAAATCAAATTTATCTAACAACAAGAAAACTGGCTTCATTTAAAAGTCTATGTTGGAAAGCAGTCACCCTGCCGCAGTACCCTGAGGCAACATTTGTTCACTTTTATAATTCAATTATTTTCTTGGGTGAAGACATTCATTTGATTAAAACAGTTGACTTGATGAAGACAATACCACTATTGAATGAAAACCGTGTTGATTGGCTCACCTGCTCTGTCCTTCATCACAGCTGTCTTTGCTGTGTGTTTATCCTGCTGTGTATAACATGTTTATTACACACAAACACTGGTTTGGTGGCCTTGGGGTTCATGATGCTGACCTTTAACTGCAGCGTCACTAGTTCGAGACCTTTGTATCATCCCTTCTCTCTCCGTAATAAAGGCAAAAAATCCCCCAGTCTAGAACTGGGCAATATATTAATATTATATCAATATCATGACATGAGACTAGATGTCGGCACAGATTTTGGATAGTGTAATATCATAATGTGGCATATGTATTGTCTTGTCCTGGTTTTGAAAGCTGCATAACGGTGAAGTGATGACTGATCTTTTATTTGACTTTACCCACTCATATCAGTCATGATATCCACATCATACTGTGATTATTTACAAGAAAATATCTGTGTAAATCTATTGTGAGAGCACTAATAGTTAACCATACGATACTGATATAGAGGTATTTGGTCAAAAATGTAATGAAAAATATTGTGGTATTAGATGTTCTCTATTGTTTGAGCCCTACCACAGGCCCTCCAAAATATACCTGTAGTCCAAAAAAGTGTCAACAATGACCCGTCTCACCACTGACACCCATCACAGTCTAATCATTTCAATAGGTAGCACACCTGATCCTAAGGAGCTTTCAGCAGTGAGTAATGAGAGAGAAGTGAGCAAAAAGTGCCAAAACTGCAGAGATTGATGTTGTAACGCAACTTCAACATGCAGGAAGAGGAGAGTCTCTCAGAGGGATTGGGATCCATCCGTGGCCAGTTCACTATTGACAGTGTCAGCAGTGCCAAACAGTATTCATGAACGATAAGGATGCATTTCAAGATCTAAATGCACTTTTGCTACTTAAAGTCAAATGTATCACTTAAGGTCTATTTTCATCACTTTTGTGAACACAGATGAAACAACTGGATGATACTTTAGTAAGAGCAACAGGAGCAACCATCCTGAGCAGATAACCAGAGCTAGATGAGCTGCCCCCTCTGGACCCCGCACACCCCCCGACCTGCTGGGAAGCGCCAGTGTGGAGTTTACCAATTACGAGCAGCCAACGAGAAACTAACTTCCACGTTCATTAGCTGCAATTAAGTATTCACGCCTCCACGTTCAGAATCTATGGGCAACTTCTCACACACGCACGCTCAAACAGCCTCTCCACGAGCCACGAGGGCATCCAGCCAATTAATCATCTTTAAGAAGTCCGTACCTTGAGCAGGGAGCGCCGGTTGCTCCTCTCCGCCGTTCCGCCGCTTCAACGAGAGAGCAGATGCGCCGCTGCGCCCCGTGATCCGCCGCGCGCTGTTCTTCCGCGTGTGTAAGTGTGAGAAAAGAGAGAGAGAGAGAGAGAGAGAGAGAGAGAGGCTGTGTGTTAACGAGTGTGTACTACCGGGGGTGAGCGCGAGTCTGTCGGTATTTGGATGTAGTCTGGGGGGTAACGGAGAGGGAGGGTTGTGTCGTGAAGGCTTCTCCCCTTCCCTCTCTCTCTTTAACCCTTGTTGACCCAAAGATGAGGCACAACTGACCAGAACACCAGGGGCGTAAAGACAGACAGGGCAGCACAGGGTGGCGGGGTCTGTTGGGTAGTGAAAGAACAGTTGAGGGTCATTCTGATTTCTACTTTCTAAATATTGTTCATGAAGGATTTATGTTTAGTATGAAATGGTGTAATTTGTTTTATGTTTCCTCGAAAAGGCAAACCATCCTGGTGGTCATTTATTTTGGTAGAATAGTCAGTAGAGATCCATAAAGAAATGACATGCTGTTTATCAAACATATAACATCTATAAAAAAAACTATTCAATTAGATAAATAATGTATTATTTTCTTTGTAATATGTATGTTGATGTTGTCTAATCTCAAGTGTCCTTTTGATCATGTGATGTTGATTTTTAGGAGCAAAATCTGTCACGGCTGACGAGCTGAGCTTTCAAACATAAAAGTCAGAACTAGAACCGTCACTGGGGCCCGTCACCACCTCCCTCCACTGTAGAACACACTGCCCCATCATTCATTTTAATTCACTCATATTCTGTTGTTTTTATATATATATTGGAATAAACATTTCAGTTGTTGAAAAACATGAAACAGTCATCATTTTCAGGAAATACACATATATTGTAGAAATGCATTTATGTATCCCTTTGTCACTATTAGCTAAAAAAATGTATGAAATAATGTTTTAATTAATGTAACTGAGTCTAAAGCAGACCAATTATTTTCTGCAAAAAGACATGACCTTTAATTTGAAATTTAATTACCTCTCCTAAATATAGTATCTCTTTTTTAAAACCATTTTCTTCCTTCCTTTTTTCTACTCTCCTTTGTTCTCTTTCATTCTCAGTTCTTTACAATGTTACTCTGCTTTTTTCATTTTCTTTCTTTCTTCTGTTCATTGCATTCCTCAACCATATTTTCAAACATATTTCTTCACTTTCTGTACACTTTCTCTCCATCTCTTATCCACCTTTTGTTTCTTTTTATCGGTCCGGTTTCTCTCTCTCTCTCTCCCCGTTGCTGTCTTTTTCTTCTATCTTTCCGACTGCTGTTTTGTATAAATGTACATATTTTAAAACAGATTACACACTATGTACTGACAGTTGTACTAACAGTTGAACTTTGACATAAACCTGTGCACAAGCTGAAGCCACTGTGAGTGTGTGAAGGGGAGGAGAAGGATCTGTGTGCCAAACAAAAGAAATCGATATCATATTGCTGTAAACATGGAAGTGGCTAATTAAATCAGAACATTTTCTGAAGTCATATTATATTATTTTAGTGGTGAAGATCATCATTGGGAATTATTGTGTTTTTTTAATGATAGGAAGGAAAAAACACTGTTTATCATGCACAGGTATACAGTATTTATCTTCCATGACATGTCTTCTTTCAGACTAGTGGAAAGAAAACATGTCTTGTCTATTTGCGTCTGTAGATTTCTCCTAATTTTACCAAAAGTTACCATTAGATAATGCCTCATTTGCATATTTAAACATTATTTCAGAAAATAAAAATAATGGTTTTAATGTAAGTCGTCAAATAGGGAAGTTTCATGGAGATATCTAATAGTTACTTTATTTAATCTACTCACCTATAGTGTCTTCAACATGTGTCATTTTCCAAAACATATCTTTAAAATACGTTTTCTCAAAATTATTGTTTTCTCAGAAAATTCCAACAGAGGGGTTTGTTTACATATCGTTCACAGCCTGATTTATTCAACATTGTATTACTAAAAACATGGAGAAAGAAAAAATGGAGAAACTATTTTATTTTATTTGGCTGTTATTAATAAGTGATGCCAAGATATATTAGCTATATAGATTGTTTTTACAGCATATCAGAGTTGACAGGATAGACATCAACACAAAAATGTCCATGTAGTTCTAAGAGTGGAGGAGCCAGTTAACAGTGAAATGGGTTTTTAGTTCCAGACCACTTCAAAATAAACTATTTCCATTATTGCTTCAACTCAACTTGCCCTTGATTTCTGGACCTTTAGCTGTTTGCTAAAACCTTCAAAGAAAGTCACTCCCTTACTTCAGAAAAGCACCTAAACACACATGTTCCAGCCTGCTTTTAATGTCTCACCATCTGTCATTAGTGCTTAATTGTCTATTTCTATGATTTATGTTTTTAAATATTTAAATTGAATGTAGTATTATTAGTACTCTCAGTGACAAGTAAAAATACACTCTGATATATTTGGCATCATTATTTAACAGTAAAACGTTCAGCGTCATGTATCGGAGACATTGTGGAGAGTCACCTCTGCCGAGACTCTTTACCGTAGAGGAGTTTTCACAGAATAGTTATTCATTAAATCAAATCTGTTGAAAGTCAGTATTTGTTGTAACTCCACATGGTTTATATACTGTAGCTGAGCCGACTAAAAGTCCACCTCCACTCACTCCCACTATTTCTTTTTCTACTTTTATTTTTTCGTTTATTTTTCCCTTAATGGTGTACTAAACATTATAACATAAAAAACTAGTAAAAACAAGAAAGATCATAATATTCATGAATATTGCAAGAAAGCACATTTACGGTGATTTGCAAGGTACTGAAAACTGAAACATGAACTAAAACACTGAAAGCAACACAAGGATGTGGAATAGTAGTATTTTACTGTCATTGCACTCCATAGAGGTAAGTGGCTATCCTGACAATGATTCACACAAATAAACAGTAATAAAGATGAAGAATTAGAATATACGTATATTATTGTTAAAAAGATATGTATGACTTTTAAAAACAGTAAGATCACTGAGATATTGCACTGAGTTGCTCTGGCTCTCTATATAAATAATAGGCTGCAGTTGGAATGTATCTGTTAAAGACATTTGGATTCAAGATATCTAATATACACCTCAAGCTGCAGTTTAGTGTGGATGATCCCCCACATGTATTTTAATACAAAAAAATAGAGATTACGACATTTATTTATTTATTTATACAATATGATATTGATTATTAGGCAACAGTGATTCATGTGAGTGTTCTGGCTCCCAGCAAGAAAAGAAACCTGAATCAAACCAGTCAGGGTAGTGACAAATAGAGGCCTCCTTTAGTATTTTAATTTGTCATTTCTGAAATGTGGGTCCCCAGAAAATAAGTTTAGGAATATCTGTTCTAAAGGCTTTCTCATTCACCAACAGACAAGAAGAAGATAATATATATCCTTAACAGAGGGAGGAAGGGTGATTCCATGTTAGCCTTTTTGTTCAAGTAAGAAAAGAAGTGTCCTACCGTGTTGATATGTGCTCAGAATCTGCCTAAACAGCAGATTTGAAGTTCACATTGTGTTTTACTCTCCTGAATCTTTCACGGCACTGATTCAGATTGTGAGTTGCAGATTGATTGCAGCTTTTGCGTTCACTCAATAGTTTTGTCATCAACAACATTTCAAACTCCCACACATGTGATGCTGTTTCCTGCACACTGAAGCCGTATCTCTGACGGTATTCACTCCCTTTTCCTCACTTTGTGTGATCAACGAGCCAGTTCCTGATGCAAGTGTCTGGGAATAAGAAGCAGTACTAGTTTCATGTATCTGTTCCTCAATCCAAGCTATTTCTTTCCTCGCTTTGATAGAAGTTCATCAAATGGTCAGAAACAAGTATTGTTTTTAGTGCTATTTCATATTTCCTACAGATGCTTGGACCTTCACTAAAAGCTTGCAGACCTGAACCCAATGTAACCTTTATTTTTTGTAAGTCAATTTAAAAAAAACACAACCAGTTGCAACATCAATAATAAAAAGTAACAAAACAAAATGAATCTGGGCACAAAACGAGCTACAAGTAACTGTTTATTTCTATTTGACATAGTCCTTTCTTACTATTATTTATTCAACTGTAACAAATAATGTTTATATATTGAATGAATAATATAATTTCTTTGGATCTATTGTGTGTGTGTGTGTGTGTGTGTGTGTGTGTGTGTGTGTGTGTGTGTGTGTGTGTGTGTGTGTGTGTGTGATGTTTACTGGAATGAAATATGGACTCAGAAGGAAATGTAGAGAGGTGCGTCTGTAATTCCTTTTCATAACGCAATGTCAAAACAAGTTGTTCATTATTATTCGAATGAGGCTGATGAGTTTATCATGGCAGTAAGAGTGAAATAAAGGAAGCAGTGGGCTGATAAAACATGGAGCGTTGTTTCTTTAACTACATTAACTATTATTTTATCTTATTATATATACTGTATGATGATGTAATATGTACATGTTTTACACCTGTAATAATTATATATGGATGAATAGTTGTGTGATTCAATTAGACAGCAAGTATTGCTACTAAATAATACAAATGAATGGAGATTTTAATAGTCATTATAGATATTGGTGAGTATATTCTTAAAAAATATGTTCATGGTTTGTTTCCACTCTAATTTATTAATTCATTTTAATTTGGTTTCATTTCAATAGTAAGTTTTACAATACAAAAATGGACAAATTTCATGACAGTGACATTTTCGTAAGTAACACTGTGAATATGTGAGATATACAGGAAGTAGTATCTAATGGAAGTAGAGTTATAGTGTGTAGTATACACAGGACATAATCATTGAGTTAATATTATATTGTCAAATTGTGCTACAGATTTGATGTCTTTACCTGCTCTCCTTCATCTCTTCTTTCTTTCTCTGCCTTATATCTTAATATCCAGACAGTCTCTCTCACACTCTCTGATTAGAGGAGAGAATTTATTTAAATGATGATATAAAACATGTAGCTTTATCTCTACAGTTTTAATGGAATGAAAAACACTCAACCGGATGAATATGTGCTAATAATCTAGGTACATATTTAGACACTACACTGTGCGCTTGCAATATATGTTATGTTGGTGTGGGTGGGATGA